CCTCTCTCTCTCTCTCTCTCTCTCTCTCTCTTTCTTTCTCTCCCTCTGCATGGGGCTATCTAGAATCCCCCTTCTTTTCATTTTGTCAAGCATTGATCTCGCCCTCCCCACACACACACATCTAAAAATAAAAAAACAATATAATAATATCCAGAGCCACCAATTCGCCACTCATATTGGCAAACTCGAACAAAACAATAACAATAACCAAACAAAAAAAAAAACGAAAAAAAACCCTCACCGAGAACAATAGTACCACAAGCAGCAGTAGCGATGACATGTTATCAATGGGAATGTCGCAGCACGACATGAATACATCGATCATTCACAAAAACATGCGTGAGTGTGCATGACTGTGCCTTTGTATGCATGTATCTCTACGAGTGTGCCCGCCCACTATTTATATGGCATGCACGTACTGTTACGGGTTAAGAATTTGAGTTTCACACGTCAAGCTTATTCGAACGCAATTCTTCGAACATCTTGATAACAACTCTGAGTAATCTTACGATTTTAATAGAGCAGAATAAGATCAGTTGGTTTTTGATCTCACGGTCTTGGTAACTCAAAAAGACCAAAAATGTCAGATCATAGATCTTTGTAATTCCAAGGTGGTGACTTGTTAATGTGGAGAAAATCGCACGATATGCCGTTGTCACGCGATTCGACAAGGCCTCTTTAGAACGTCAGGGATGAGGCAGAGAAGTAATGGGATGGGAATTTGAAGGTTTTTGTCTATAATTCCAATACATGATGTCAAGTGCGGGTAATCGCAACTGCAGAATGGGGTTTTTTTACGCCTCCAGCGACACAATTTAGATAATCTTGAGAGCGCGCTGCTACGACCCTTCTTGTCAGGGTCGACCAGGAAGAAAGATACTCGAACGTACCAGCGAATAGTCGGAGCAACTCTATTTAAACGTGCGTTGAACGGCGAAGAACCTAACCCTTACACCATAGACGCCGGTCATGCACGGCAGAAATACATGTTCTTTTTTCTCTTGATTTCAAGATGTTATATATTTGATTATGCTAAAGAAACTACACAAAGAAGGGCCTGCCGTTAGCTCAGGTCGTACCATAATGCGCGCAGATGACCCCGGTCTGAATCCCCAATAGATCTTTCTTAAGAATGAGGTTGTTTGGGAAGTTTTCAAGGTTCCACATGACCTATCTGGATGGGCGTTTTCAAGGACGCACTTTGACTTCGGGGCTCCCATCTCTTAATTAATACCCATACGGGGTTGGTACCGTCTCTCAGAGTTAAAGCGAACTGCACAGTTAGTGCGCGACATCGGACTGACAGTCTAGCTGCTGTCATCGAGGACGAGGAAGAAGAAGAAAAGGGGTTGGTACCAATCCAAAGACGGCCAAGTGGTGTACACTTCCACTCCCTTCCCTCTCTCTTTTTCACAAACGCACACAAACACAAACAAACACACACACACACAAACACACACAGCTAAATAGTATAGAAAAACAAAAGCAAAAAGCACAACATAAAATACTGTAGCATAAGTACAAGGGATAGATGAGAGAATAAACAAAGGTTAAAGGTTTCAATCATTTTCCTTTTTTTACACCCCCATTGACACAATTTAGATTAAATGATTTTTGGAGGTGGGCTCGCCTCTGTCTGTCAGGGCCAACCCGGCCCGAGAGGGATACAACATTCCAGCAGAAAAACCAAGATCACACTCGATAAAAATTCCCACCCCACAGGAATCGAACTCGGGTCTTCTGTGTGTGACAGCGAAGCGCCTAACTGCTTTACCCTTTTCCCAGAGAGCAAAATATTGATGAAAGAAACAAGGCAGGGACGAGAATCAATATAACACCTGTTGCTCTGTGTAGGCTACAAGAACACGACGTGTGTTATTTATGATGCGATGGGATGAGCCATCCTCACCATACACGCTCATCCTTTCAAGTCTCTTCCTAACAAAACTGATTGATTTTCTTGGATACAAGTACAAAGCTTTCCTTGCTACAATCTTATTACATATATATCTAATTAAAGACGTTCAGAAAAATCTCGTGGGGAAGATTTTATAACAATATTTATTATTAATATTATTTATTAATATATTTTTATCACGATATATATTATATACATATGTATATATATATCGTGATAAAAATATATTAATAAATAAGGGAATTCCATTTTAAGGTATATATATCTGACAACAGATGACAAATTTATTTGAATTTTATACAAAAAATGACATACATAGTTTTTAAAGTATACATGTTGCATTATGATTTTACAAAGTTTATTATAATATATGATTGACAACAACGAATCAACTCTGCTCATGAAGACATGAAATTGTGTTTTGGGAGCATTGTGAGTGTGAGTGTAATAAGTCCTAGGTGTAGAGAAAACTGTAGCTATCATTATTACAATGGTGCATATATAGCTATCTTATCCAAGAAGCTTTCTTTAACAAAGTGAAAAGATATATTTGTGAAGGTAGGCATGAAAGAGAATTTTTACAAGACTGAAAGAAAAGAAAAAGAAAGTGCAAGTACACGATGCCATAGTTGCAGTTTTAAAGTTGAAAAAGAACAAACCCTCTTTGACTGAAAACGTTGGAAAAAAACCCCTAGAATCTTAACATAGAACGAATGCAAAAAGAAACCTATGAAATGGGCTTGTGACTGCTAAAAAAGCTAGAAAAACATTATCAGAGACATTGCCAATCAAAATATGCACAGTTAGTTCTTGCGGAGAAAAACTATGGAAGAGAAGAAAAAAGAATTTTTGTTCTCATGGACAAGACATAGACACAGTTAAAGAGCAAACAAAGACCCATTGATAAATTTATGTCTCTTAAAACAAATTCACGCTTCACAAACTGCACACGAGGGATGGATTCAAACTAGCAACCCCTCAGACAAACAGCCATGAAAAAATCTGTAAGTAAGTTACAAGTTAATCTAGGCCTAACTTTTCCTCTTTACAACAAAGAACACTGTGTCTCTACACAAAAAAGGAAATCGACAAAACTTACCACCCTCATTGATGTGTCTGGGACAGCCCTGTTATTCTCATACTTGGGCACATCCAACACTTCCCCTTTTGGCCGTGTTTTCATCCAATGCACTGCATGAAGGAACGCTACCCCTGAACTGACCAAGAGTGTACTCCCCACCAGGTACTTGAGTAATGTTACTGTATTCCGACGCATGGCTCACTGAAAAAAAAAAAAATAGTGCACACAATTATTGACAAGTGAAAAATAAAGATCTCAGAGTGCAACATGCAGGATCATCGTCATGAGAAAAAAAGTGGGATGTGATTGTCCAACGCGCAAAGATATGGAGGTAAACTTTTTTATTTAACCATCTTTGTCTTAGTAACGAGTAGACTACTACTTTCACACACAAAAACACTACCACACACATTCACACATATAACAGACACACACATCATGATACTCTTTGGCAACCTCAGTGAATAATATAATATGCACAGTGTTATAGACAGTAGATCTAGGCCTTTATTTAGGCCTAAAATCTAGATCTAGATCTTAGACTAAAAATGGTGAAATTATAGCAACGCCCCATCACTATGTTATTTAAGGGGCGGGACCTCTTAGTTTTATGTCCGTCCCACCGAGCCAAGTGGGAAGTTCGTGTAAAGTGCCTTTAACAAGAGGACACAACGTCGGACCGAGCTCAGGCTCGAACCCCAGAACTCGCAATCTCACGATTACCAGTCCGGTAGCCTAACCTTACCACTAGGCTACCGACGCCACTGATCTATAGACTAGAAATTAGTGATTTTGTAGTTTCTTTTGTTAAAGTCAAGAGTAGAGGGGGTTTTAGGGGTGCTTGCCCCCCCTGACCTATTTACTAATTTAATAAAAACTGTGGAGGGGAGGGGGGGGGGGGGG